GAGCTCTGCCCCTTGCCCCTGCACGGCCCCCTGGGAGGTCCTGGGTGGGGCGGGCTGCACACTGGCGGGGCCTGCAGGGAGCCCCGGCCGGGACAGGCATCCCTCACCTAGGAGCAGCACGTCCTTGAACACCATGGATCTCTTGGTGGCTCCGAGCAGCAGGTGCTCGCCGGCGTGGGCTCTGAGCAGGGCCACCTGGAAGAGACGGGACGGCATCTGCATTCTGCACCCCAGAAGGTGTCTGCACCCCAGGGCAAGCTGCTCCGAGCCAACTCAGTGTCCATGAATGCTCCCTTTGCCTTCACCTGCCCAGATGATAAAGCAGGCACCATAAACCTGCTATTTTCCTTCCTTAACTGATAAAACCAGGGGCCTGGACAAGACTCAGCCAAAAGCTGGAAGGGGAAAGAACATGTGCTCTGAGCTGGGGCCCAACTGCTGTCCTGTAGTCCCGGCAAGCCGCTGCTGCGCTGGGCCTTGTCTGTGCACCTGATGAAACTGCAGGGAAGGTTCTGGGCATGTTTTTGGTTCAGCAGAGGCTCAAAGGTTTCACCAGACTCTCACGAGGTCTACAACCATACCCTATCAGTCAGCTATGAAAGATGATGAAGAGTGCTTTGTAAAAATGCAGATTCCTAGGCCACGTTATCAGCGGTCCTGCTGTATGAACGGGGTGGGCCTAGCATCTGAAGGTATCAAGTTCCCCAGTTAATTCTGCTCTGCAAGATCTCCAAGACTTCTGCCCACTTCTGAGCAGAAGATTCTGAGCGAGAGTTGCAAGCCTTTGGGTGGGGATGTTGGCTCCCGGCCAGAGGGGCGAGCACTGGACTTTGGCAGAGGTCCAGCTTGACAGACCCTACCCAGAGAGAGGGTGAGGACCCCGGATGCCTGAGGTCTGGGGTACAGACCCACCCCATGTGCAGAAGGATGTCACCTGCCTTTCAGCACCATCTGCTTTGGTGTTTGCAAGAGGAGCAAAGTTTAGGATGGTGAAAAACGGTAGCAGGCTGGAAGCTCAAGGACCTTCTCTGCAAGGTTGGGCAAGGTTAGGAAGTTAGAAAGTCAAGAGGAAGTTAGCTGGCCAAAGTAGGAGGTAAACGGAGCTCTGTTCGTCAATTGGTCTGATTGTTCCTTCTTCCAATGCTGAGCACCTGCTAAATACTAGATGCTTTTCAGGCAATGGGGACTCAGTGATAAAAAAGTGAGTTCGCACTCTTGGTGAGGCAGAGGGAAGCGAGAATAGATCCAAAATAGAAAGCAAATAATAGGACGAAATGGTGGTACCTGAAGGTTAGGCGGGAAAAGGAAGCCAAGGGAAGAAAAACAGGAGGGGAAAGACTGAGACCGGGGGTGGGGGGTTGTGCAGAAGATAGGAAAGAAGCCAGGGCGGGAGGAAGGAAGGGGCCAGTGAATGAGTAAACGGAGTCAGCGAATGAGCAACTGGCTTAACCTCTTCTCCAGCTCTAGCCCTCGAGGGGAAGCCCTTTGTCCTGACCCAGCTATCCTCTGCCACACTTGGGGGAGGACAAGAAGAGAAGAGATGGGAGCACACCTTGGAGGTGACCAGGACCAGGGGGCCAAGGGTGCGTAACACGAGCGCCCCCTCCTTCCCACAGCCTGGCAACCCCATGGTTCCCGCCGAGAGGCAGAAGACCCGGGTGGGAACCCCCCAGCAATGGCCTCTGACCTTGAGCAAATAGCACCCAGTCCCTGGGCCCAGCCCCTAGCCACTTGAATGCCCCTCAGGCGTTGATGTCCAAAGCCAATCAAGAAGCAGAGGAGCTTGGAAAGTGGTTCCTGGGGCCACGTCGATAGACTTGGGGTGTCCCTTGAAGGACAATACTTCTTAATTCTCCCAGTGTGCACTGCCTCTCTCAGCAAGTTGGCACCTTTTGCACCAGGAATGGAGAATTGAGAACTTTCCTGGCCCCGGGTCCAGCCCCCCGACTTGATGGCTGTTCTGGGGGGTGGTCATGCAGCTGGGGGGGGGGTTGGTGTTAATGATTGTCCTTTGTTATTGGCCACCCATCACTGCTCTCTGAGAATTCTGTGAGCCCCAGCCAGGGAGGTTTGGGTGGGAAATCGAGGTTAACAATTGCTCAGCTTGGGGGTATCTTGTTGCCCTGTTGAGCCCCTGGGAAGGAGTGGAAGGGATTAAACATTAATGCAGACTCTCCAGCAGAGGGGACCAGGGCCAGCGCACACGGAGCAGGGGAGAAGACAGGGACATTGCGGTCAGATCACGGCCTGCCTCCCGAGAGGGGCGGGGGCCACATGCTAGACAGCATCTGTCCAGGCTGGCGAGGCTGAGCTCAAAGCAGTCTCCACAGCAAGGCCCGCTGTGCGATGCTGATGACAGCTCTGGAAGAATCTGGTGTCAAAGAAGACTGGGGAACACTGGCTCCACAAAGATCACCGGCTGCCTTGCCTGCAGGGCGTCTCAGTGGGCTGACCTGCACCCCTCGTCTCCTGTGCGAACAGATTCAACAGACGCCAAAGCACCAGACTCAACAGACGCCAAAGTACTGGGTACTGGCCGTGGGTGCCCGCATGCTTCCCCCAGAGCTGAGAGGTGAGCCGGTCCAGCTCCCCTTTC